GAACACAGGAGAGCTCACTGTTGGCTCACTAACCCTACCCCCATCCTCTATTTCTCCAGATCCCTTCCTCCTGTCTAGGCTAACTACACATTCTCACCCCTAGTTTGCTACCCTTATCTGCTAACCTAGGGCTCAGGAGATATTTTTGTTAGTTGTATAATATACAACATTCTAATAATCCTCCTTAAATACCATAAAGGCTCCGTAAGCACATCCATTTGTCCATTATTTCTCGTTGGATATGCATTCCAATCTTCATCTTTGACTAATGGATTTCTCTCGGTTTCATATCCTGTTCTCTCTTACTCTATCGTATTGCTTATAAAATATTGATGTTTGGTGATTAACAACGTTTATAGAAGGACTTCATCTATTTTCCACATTAGAATCATTTATTGGATTTGTTGTGATGATCATTCGATGTTTGATTTTTTGCCTACTTTGACTTTAGCTGAACATTGAATTGGTTGTTTACAGCAGTCTTCTTTTGTAGAAAGTCAATCAACCTTTTCATACTAGTAGATGGCTCATGGGCCTTTTCTTAGAAGAAGACTTATGGATTTTTATGAATGTTTTGTGGCTTCTACCAAGATTCCCCCTCACGGTGAATAGTTCAACCTTAAAACACCACCTCTTTCCATTACTCCAACATGTGATGCCCCACAAAATTACTAAAGGTTTAGCTTCTTTTGTTGTGCTTATCTTTCCGAGAAGAATCAGGTGCATTCATGGAATGCATCATCTTGGTGATGTCTGATGAGAATAAATGATGTTGCCGGTAAAGTGAACATACCACACATTGTACCAACAAGAAATCACAGACTCAATACCAGGACTATCATATCACTTCCTCTTGTATACATCAAAAACATCCAACTTTAATCATTTCGGTACTCCTTGTATGGATCAGCCACCCTCAGCTTTGTTGCCCAAGAGAAGACCTCCAAGATTTATCGTCTTCAGCACTCCTTGTATGGTCTTAACTTAGTCCTCTAAAGGCTGGTATTGTCAAATTGTGTTCAAAATGACAGACGATTGTTGGTATTATAATATATCATCAGGAAGCCTTTTAAAGACTTCTATGGAAACATAACTATATAGTTGTTAGGCGCATCTAACAAGCATCGTTTATTCTGTTAGTGTGCTCAGTCAATTCATCTTTACGCAATAAGATTGGTAATTGGGATTATGATCCTAAGGTATCGCAAGCCCTCTAGGGGAAGGGATCTAGTATTCTGATTAGAGAGACCGTATAGAAGTATCTCCACCGAGGGATAAAGAAATATTACAGTATTCTCATCATATGTTGATAGAGCAGGTTGCCCCATCACTCGTTATTACACCATCAGTTGTGCTTTTTGGTCGAAAAGCTTGTCTCATGGAAGAGCAAGAAACAACGCATTCTATTGTGTGCTAGTAGGGGTGTTAACGAGACAAGACAACTCCCGAGCTACTCGAGATCGACTTGGTCAACACTCGACTCGAGTAGGCTATACTCAAACTCGACATACGCACGAGTCGAGTCGAGCTACCCGATACTAGACTCGATAAGCTCGTGAGATACTCACATTTTTTGTATATATAATTAGTTTTACAATATAATGTAACAAAATTAATCATATATGTTTGGTAGCAATTAAAGAAATAAATATTGAACTAAAGAAATAAATGTTGAAACATTTTAAAACACATTTATACTTAATAATCATTAAATAAACTTAATAAAACATGTTTGAACAAATAAATGACCCATATAGATATTTTATTTTATTTTAAAAAATGCATAAATTGAGGGCCAACCCACTTATTGTGAAATTTAGGTGTTGAGTCCCACATTGGCTACTTAGATAAACCAAAGGGTGTGGAAGTGATTATATAATGAAACCCCATTGAGTGAGTCCCATATCTATTGCTTAAAGAAAGCAAAAGGTGTGGGAAGTGATTATGTAACGGAACCCCATAATGAAAGGCATGCAACCACGTTGTGAGCACTCAAGTTCGAGCTTCAGAAGAGTTCAGGCTTCAACCGAGTTCGAGTTTAGGAAATTGCAATTGTGCTCGAGTCGAGTTTGGATTTTAACTACTTGCGAGTTTAGGAAATGCAATCGTGCTTGAGCCTGAAAAATGGCTATCGAGTTCGAGTCAAGTATGCGGATGCTCGAGCTCGACTCGCATCATTTACACCCTTATGTGCTAGTGTACAGTTGGAGTATATAGTTCCTAGCGAGGTGACATGTACCCTACATTTGTTGCATGAGTTGTGCCACTCTTTAATAGAGGCCTGGTTACATGTACAACTGAAATAGAAACTAATGAGTGTATCATGGTTAAAAAATGCAGAATCTGATTGTCTGCAGTCTTCTTTGGAAGATCAATCGTTCTCAAAAGATTAACTTGTATAAGAATTTATCTTTTTGGAAAAAGGGGACATAACCCCGTTGAAAACTTTATTGATTGTATAAGGAAGTTGATGAACCTATATTATGGTAACTACTTTGTTAACCATATAACCAAACATCAAATATTTCATGAGAGGACCAAACACATGGAGGTTGATTGTCATCTTGTGTGATGGGTTCGTAGATTATTTTGTCAAGACCTCCATGAAGGCTCTGACTTCATAAGCCACAAGTAAAGGCATGACGTCAAAAACCCAACCTAAGGAGGGAGTGTTATACAAGGTTCCAATCAATTTATGTGTCTTTTGCATTTTTACATGACTCGTGGATTTCTTTATTTTTGCATTTATCCTTATGGCCATGTTTATCATAGTCTGTTATGGCATCCTATAGCCATACAAATGGGTTCCCCCGCCCCCCTGGCGCCTTTCAATAATAATCATGTGAAAATGTAAATTACTTCAAAAACCAAGAATTTGGAAGCAAAACTACTTTATATCAAATGGTGCAAGTATGTTATATTAGTACGTTATGATAGCACTAGCAATATTAATTTATAAGTATCATCATAATATTTATCCATTACTACAACAATTAGTTCATAAACATCATAAGTTCTAGGTTACATTCTGAGTAAAAGAACAAGTATGATTTAATTTTATATTTGTTCACGGGCACTTTTATGTTATCAAGTATACTATAGTGGCCCCACTTATTTTATGTACCTCAAAATGTTTGTGACATCATAATGATTATGGGTTCACATGCTCAGCGAAACAGCTTCTTAAGGAAGTTGTAGGCACAACTTGGATTGGAATCAATAAGAAAGCCCAGATAGCAAAAAGAAAGCAAAATAAGGCAAAGTTGTTGATGCTTGGACCAATCTCATGAACTTTAGGCAAACCATTCATTTTGCATGTCATTGCCAAATGCCATGCAATGCACATTGTGACTTAGGGATGTGAAGGACAGACGCTAACCCAGAAAAATTTCCAAACGGGGGCACAGATACAGTTTCATTAAAAAAAATGACATACATGTGGTTTTTTGCAACACCTAAGTGGTTTTTTCCTTCTTTTTTGTTGTTACAGTTAAAAGAGAGCCAAAGGAATTTGAATTTGGAACCTGTGATGCCCCATACAATGACACTACCATTACGTTACAACCGCTTTTGTTAACTTAGTGGAGCACCCAACAAGTTAAAGCAGATGCACCTTTAAGACTCCTATAAATGTCCACTACATCAAAAGCTTGACAAAGAAGCGAAAAAGCCTATATATCTTTAACTAGTTTATATATTTCTTTTCTTTTTCTACAAAGTGGTAGCACGGGTACCCCCACCCTCCTTATCCGCCCTGGTGAAGGAATTTGTTAACATTAGGGCATACAGTGTTGAAAAAGATGAATAACTTCACTACTTCCCATACTTTCAACAGATCGTGGGAAATGACTACATACACAAATGCAAACAGTACAAGCAAGCAAGCAAGCATCCCTGCCGGGGTAACAATAGCAAGCCACCCCTGCCTGGAAAGCACTAACAAGACCTCCCTACCATCATCCTATTTGGAGGGCGGGTATATGCCAACCCTACCATCATTATCCCTTCGGATTGTTATTTGGTTCAACTATATTTGTTCACTAGTGAACTGTCACATTTAGAAGCCCATTTACTCCAAATTTAGACAAAAATTAATTAATACATATCCTCGAACAGTCCTAAACCTTCCTACAAGAGCCTTATCCCATGCACAAAATCACATAAAGAATAAATTTCATCCTAATCACATAAATGGAACAGGGGTGATATAAACTGAGCATCCTTTTTAGGAAAAACAAGTCCACACCCTTGTACTTCCATAAACGAACCACCATGATGGATAAGCAAGTGGTTAATAGATCCATAATGTGATAATCTCATCAAACACTCAAAGGCAACGAATACACACAGAAAGTGCCACAAAATATTGCCTACATGGCTACATTAATTCACATTGTGCTTCAAACAGTCATTCATATGTTCAAGCGGTTAAGCCAGATTAATCATGTTCAATGGGTTGGACTACACGTCTAACATAAGGCCTCACAATTGTGAGTTTGCACTTATGGAACCTTATGATCCCACTACATCCCCATGTTTAATCACACTTCTAGACAACATATAAAAGCTCTACACTCTGCAGTTCCAAGAAATCTAACTGTCGATTATTTCAGTATCTTTGGTCAACCACTAAAAGGTCGTACATCAAAGGACACCCCATTTCAAATGGCTCTCTGCTAGTATCAGCTAGCATAACTTTAAGATGCCGTTTTCTTTGTAGAATTTTGATCGAATTTTTATGAACAGAAAATTGCACCAAAATGGAACCAGCTTTGCATTTGTTCCTTATTTTGAGAAACCAACTTTCAAAATCTCCATTTTTGGAAACCTACTCAAAACTTCTCACTTTTGGGACCAAAATGGAGCCAACTTTGTTTTCATTCCTATTTTGGAACACATGAAAGTGGTCACCTGATCCCTAAAATGAGAGGCTTTGAAAGTCAGTTCCTTAAAATAGGAATGAAAACAAAGTTTGTTTCATTTTGGTGAAATTTGCCCTTTTGTAAATTAAAAAGTCTTACATAATAAGATTTCACAAAAGTCTATGAAAGCCATTGAATAAGAGGCTAAAAATATTTGATCAAACAGGAGTTAAAACTACCAATGTAGTATCAGAACTAATTTAGTTTAAGAATGTTGAAATCCTTATTTATTTGTTCAATGTTTCCTAGAGATAATGTATCTTTTCCGTAGAGTTCTCATTATCATTCTCTTGGATTCTTTTGATTGTGTTTCCTTGTTATAGTTGGTTTAAGTTTTCCCTTTTCCTCATGTATGTCTCACGGAGAGGAAAAGATGACTACCTCAATGGTAAAAAATCAGACCCCTCGTATCACCAATGAAATTCCTAAAACCATATGTTATGGTGATGTCTTGGTCGATAAATTCCATCCTCTCCAAAATTATAGAAAACTTTCTTCTATGTCGGATTGCCCATAAAATCTGGAACTCTGCCCACAATACCTACTCATGTTCTGAAAACACTTCAGAACTTTTTGAAATAGAAGTCAAACTCTTTGAACTCAAGCAAGCAGACTCGGATGTTACACAAAACTTCAACACAATCACAAGGTATATCCTTGGAAGTGTCCTAATGATGCAACCTTCCACAAAGAAATCATTGAGAAAAAGAGAACATTCAGAATTCTATCAGGGTTGAACAAAGAACTTGACCAAGTCAAAAGCAGAATCATGAGCCTCAAACCTCTCCTTCCAATCTGAGAGGTTTTCTTTGGAATCCGAAAGGAAGAAGGTCGGAAAAGAATGATGATGCTGAACTCTACACCACAGATATGCCATGATAACTCACTCGGGTTCTTCAAACAACAAGACTAGAAAGGGAAGACCATGGTGTGATCACTGGTCATCTTCGTGAAACCTGTTGGAAAATTCATAGAAAACCTGGAGATTGAAAAGCAGAGAATAGGAGAGATCAAGGACTTGTCCACATGGCTGCAAACAATGAAGAAACATCAAAGGAGGCCAAACCCTTTCACAAAGGATCATATCGATGCACTCCAGAAACTCTTTGCGCAGTTTTACAACAGCCAAACTCACCTTCAATCAATGCAAATGTCAGTCACCAAGGTACCTCTTCTCATGCATTCACTACAACCTCCAACCCCACGGGTCCATCATGCATCTCAATATTGTCTCTCATTTATAACCTAAAAAATAAATCATTTTGTATATGATTGTAGGCCTACATCTGAAACCCAATTGGATAAGAGTAGAGTTGCCCATGGACATAAACTAATTCATGTGGGATTTGTACTCTTCACATGCCCTTCATGTAGTCTGAATTAAGACTGTTGAGGCTCATAGGTGAAAAACTAGACAAACCACGACACAACAAATTGATCAAATGCCATCATGTATCTCAATAATGTCTCTCATACCATGTAAAGATTCCTTTCACCTTCCACTCGAAACCAATTGACTCTAAGTTGAATCACCCTTGGACGATATGTATTGAAGTAAGAATCCTTTTTAAGCACATGGTGGTTTTGACAATGATTAACCTAACACGAGATCAAATATTTAGAAATGATATAAATTAAATCTAATAAGAATTATGATTGCACAAAATTTTGCATAATTTAATTATTTAAAAGATGCACCAAGATTAAACCAAAGCCTTGCAAGGAAACTTACTCCAAGTTCACATAAGTATAAGATGATTTTTGAATTATAAAAGATGTACCTTCTTTGCCATCACTAATATAATCAGATCGTCCTTTACGAAGAATAGTTACACCGCCAATACTGCAAGAGGGAAGGTTTGATCCATTGTCACTTTAAAACCATAGTCACCGGTCATAATGGAAAAACATGTAGCAGTTTATGTATAAGGCTATAAGTTATTACGAATAGTCTTTATAGTGTTTCAATTCATAATGGAAGACCATAAAAAAAACAAAAACAAAAGCCACAACTAAGAATGAAACTAGTATAAAATCAAGTGATATAACTTGGATTTTTGTACATGATGTTTCATATTTTCGTCAAACTATAAGGTATGAAAAACTATGTATGATTCCTATCATCCATGATTAAGATAGTGAAGCTAGGGGAGATCACCATTGGATGATGACTAAGTCACTTTCATAACTAGAGAGTGCTTGGTAGTTAAAAGGATATAATATGTGATGCAATATACACAAATATTATGTTGTTCTAGGATGACATGAACCTTGTACATCAAGAATAGTGGCTTACAAGGGAATGCACTCTAAGAAGGCCAAACCAATCACTGCCTATTGTTCTTGTTAATATTATTAAAACAAAGAATTTTAGACCTTTGACTACATTCAAACAATTGGTTGTGATTAGAAGTCATCCAGAAGTTGTAGTTCCCCCTGATGTGGGATTACTAACCTAAACACGCCCTATCATGTATCAATCCCTTTGAGGCTTAGCCCTGAACAGGCTCAAAGCCGAGATTTTCGTTTAGGGTGGTCTTTTAGGGGTGTAAACGATACGAGACAACTCGCGAGCTACTCAAGATCGACTCGATCAAAGCTCGGTCAACATTCGACTCGAATAGGCTCGACTCGATCTCAACCCTTGAAGTTCATGAGACACTCGATTTTATTATATATAATTAGTTTTATAATATAATTTGTAAAATATAATATAATAAATGTCTTATATTTTTATATATGTGAACAATTATGCTTTTCTAACTATAAAAACTAATCAATTTTTTAATTAAATCATAATTTTAAAAAAGAAAAAAAAACTATAAAAGTGTTTGTGAATTTGCCCCACATTGGAAGAGAGATGGTAAAGGAAGCGTGAAGAGAAGTTATAAAAATAGAGGGAGGTGAATACAGTTTGTAACTTTGTCTTTTTGATGATGAACTTTGAGGTGCATCTCCTTAGTTTTATAGAAAATTAAGAGAATACCTTTAAGTTTTAAAATTTACAAGAGAAGACCTTACAAATTTCAATCAGTAAGCTTCGTTCGAGCTTGATTCGAGTTTGAGCTTAAAAAACTACAAATGAGTTCGAATCGAGTTTAGTTTTTAACTACTCGCGAGTTTTCGAGTCGAGTTCCTTGAGAAATGGCTATCAAGTTCGAGTCGAGTATATCGATACTCGAGCTTGACTCGTATCATTTACACCCCTAAGTCCTTTAAAATAAATGTATGTAAAATAAATCAACAGGTAAATGCAAGATGAAAAGTATGCTCCTGTTGTAGCAAGTGAGTTGGGTTATTAAGGAAAATACAACGGTATCTAATTTGAGGTGTGTTTACACATCTGGATGAAATGCTGAAGAATATTATTCACCTGCTTGCCAGTGAAGCATACCATTTTTGATTAATCAAGAATTGAGCCTTTTTGTTGTTATGCTTTGCCTGAAAATTGCTTATTGTTTTAATTGACACCTTATGAGACCTTAAGTTCATTGTTTGTACATCCTGATATGTATTTACTAATGAAGAATTACCAATTGATCTTTTTAACATGTCATCCATAAACTAGTTACTTGTTGTTAGTGGTAGAGCTCAGTTTCCTTTAAGTTATATTTCGACCCAAATCTGTTTGTGTATCACGAAATTAACTCAAGGATAATCTCAAACTTTTCAGTAATGATTTTGACGGAAATTGTTCCTTTTAAAACCTAGAATCCATAATACTAAATGAAAAAAAGAACTCCCCATTAAATGGAATCACGGGATAAGTAGAAGGCGGTTATGAAAACAGAGCAGTTACGAAACTAATGAAAACACTCATCAGCTTATAATCAAGCAATGGGAAACCATCGTCTGATGACTCATCAGGGGTAACATATCAGCTCATGTGTACATCAGTACCTGTGGTCAGTGGAAGACCCATCAGTTGATAATACATCAATTGGTAGTTTCCTAGCTCTCGAGAGGCCAGAAGTCTCCTAAGGACTAACGTCCAAGTTGACACAAAGCAGAATACTTCTTCATGCTCCTCGCCCCACTTATTTATAATAAAACCCCAAGCCTAGCCTACTTGTATCATTTATGCATTAACCACTTGTACTCACAATAACCTAGGGTATAGCAATACCCACCCCTAAACTTCCACCTTATCCTCATGGTGGAGAGAAGAACAAAAATTGTTTCTGCCACTTTACATGATCCCTCCTATAACCTTCAACTATAAAATAAACTTTTCAGACAAGTCGTAAAAATCCCTTGTTTTAAACCATCTTCTGAACCCCAATAATGGCCATCATCATTCTTATCAGAGCCAAAAGGACCCAACTCCCCTTCCCCAGTCTCATCTTCAAGCTCCAATCCCTCCTTTACTGTAGAGACAAGCTTCTTTAGGTCATATTCCTTCAGTTGTCCTACTCCATGCTCATTTATGGCATTAACTCCAAAAAGAACCTTGTACCTTATTTTCTTTCAGTTTCTCCCAGAAAGGAGAGTCTGAACTGCTTTCTTGCTCTCACCAGTGTAGTAGATGTCATTTTTGTCCCACTTTCATACGGATGCTACAGTCCTTCAAGCCGGACTGCTCATCACTACTCTTCGTTAAAAGGTATCTTAGCAAATCAATCATTTTGCTATGTTCTGGCCATCCTCACGGTCATGGAAGCGCAATTCAGATTCTTTGAGAAACTTGTATAAAATTTGTTGTAGTCTTCCTAACTATCATTGATCTCATTGAAACTCTTGTGTGTATTTTTTGACTAGATTCTTTCTTATCACCTTTAGAATCATGTTATTTTGAAGCATCTGATGAACGATGTTCAATGGCAAGTAATCAGATCCCATAACATCCTTCATGAATCCAAGGTATTCACACATTAGCTCTTCATAGTTGCCCACATTGAACACCTTCCTCACGTACAACTTGATGTTGATAATCTTTAAAGTGTCAAAGCTGTCAAATGGGGCCCTGTTTGGCATGAAGAGGATTGCTTTGAATTCAAATTGTCCTTCAACAAATAAGTGCTTAACTGCTAGATGCTCCTTCAAGTTAATTGTCAAACTCTTGTAGAAGGAGAAATACTCTTCCTCGTTTATCTCCTCGACCTTGGGTAACCCCATTGACTTATGTTTGTTGATAAGCTTTGTGTTGATATTCGCTATGACTGTAATAGAGTCACCAACTTGGGATTCCCAGACGTATTGCTCATCATCATTGTGTTTAGTGATGACAATCACTTTCTCCCCAACAAGATAGACCAAATAAAAACCCACATTAAACTGACCAACCATGCTCACATCACCATTGGTCTCTACTACCTCCATGAATTCCTTGGTGCCACATCTGACAATCGTCCTCAAATGGTTCACCACATATGCTTTGGTCTTTCTGATGTCATTAACGATAATAGACGGGTCTTATTAACCTTATTAGAACTCGGGTTACACATCAAGCTTGCTCTTGCCAGTAAAGCTCTCAAATCGTTCCTTAACCAAAATCAGAAGAGTTGCTAATGTATGAAGATTCATGTAGTAGAATGCATTAATGATAAGACTAAGCAATTGGTTGAGCTCAACATCGTTTCTCTATCGTGTTGCTATCTATATCTCTCCCTATCAATCTTCTTTTCTCCAATTGTGGAGTCGAGATGTATAGATCGCAGCTTTCGAATAGCCATTGTTGTTCTAAAACTTGAATCAATTTGGTTTTCTCAATCCGTCCAACAAATGAATGTTAGTATTTCCTTTTGCCACATGATCTCGTTCATATCTTTCTGCTAAATCATAGTTTTCAAGGCTTCTGAGATCATCAAACTTAATGCCCACATCAGAGGATGTGAAAGTGACAAGAGGATCAATATTCACCTCTTTGTACACCTTTAAGATGGGTTCTCTTTATCCCTCACCTTCCTTCTACTTTACTAGATTCACCATCAGCAAATCCTTCCTCTCTTTAAAACTTGATAAGTCTTCTATAAATCCCTTCGATTCATATAGCAATAGGATTGGGACAAAGACAGAGAGGGAAAGTAAAGAAATGATGCGTATCCTCGTAGTTGTAGGTCGATGATATTGCTTCATGCTTCATCACGATAAGAATAAGTAAATATGATCATGGAAGTACGAATTCTAGAAGAAATTTGAAGATCAAAATTTAATGAGGGTTGTCTCACTGCCGTTCTTCCACTCGATGGAACCAAATATGGTGTGATTGACGGCAACGGCAACGGCAACAGCAACAATAGGTGTGGTAGTAGTGGCGGCGATGGCAGCAGCGGGGGTGGTAGTACCGGTGGCGGAAACTTCCAGCGACTGTCGTCCAACCCAATTTTGCCTAACGTCGTCAATGTTGTAAAACTAGACATGAATTGGAATTTGATAAATCCAGTCAAGTCAATTATGGACTTGAGCCAGATTAAAGCACTATCTTGGCTAGATTAAAGTCACTATCTTAGGCTTGGGTCAGATTAAAGTCACTGGAACGAACTTTGTTGTCATCTCTGAGTTCGACTCTTCGTACTTCGATCGGATCCTCGTGACAGATACGACATTCATTCCTTTGAACGGATGAGAAATCGCTGATAACGGAACCGTCGGCAACAACGGTGTAATGGGCAGCACCATCAGCGGTGAATCACGGTTCTCATGGGTTGGGTTGATCGGATTGAAGATATTTGAACAACCTAACCCAATGCTTGCGGTTTGAAAAATCTTAAACCCAACCCAACCCGAACCAAAGTGCAACCCAACCCAACCCGTACGGATTGGTCGGGTTAGTCGGGTTGATACTTTGGTACATTAAAATATTCTTCTAACATAGAATATGTTATTTCTCTACTCATAGTTTCTTTTTCATCATCAATCATTTGATACAACTTATCTATATTTTTTACGTATATCACATTCAGTTAATTTTCTCAATGGCATATATATGTTCACAGTTATTGAACATCTATACGAATGAGTTATATAAAGATGTGAATATATTGAAAATACGTGTATATGAAGAGCATACATGATAGTGTAATTGTCTAATGTACATATTAATAGAAATTCAACAATCATAATAAATCCAAGAAATAAAAGGATATCGGGTTCATCGAGTTGGGTTGGGTTCAAATAATAGTAACTCAATATCAACCCAATACCTACATTTTGACAATTTTACAACTCGATTAGACATCGGGTTGCTTCGGGTTGAGTTATTTCGTGTTGCATTGGGTTGGGTTGGGTTGATCGGGTTGGTCGGGTTTTTGAGCACCCCTAGCGGTGATGGCGTAGAGGGTCGTGACTTCAGAGGCTGTGGTTCGAGATAGTTGTCGACTAACCTGATCTTTTCTTCCCTTTCAACAACATGAACATTTTGTACTCTCTGTGTCTCCTCCTACCTCAGATCTGGTGTTCATCTTCTGCAGTTCAAATCTAATGGTCGTCTTCTTCAATGGTTCATCGTATAGTTTGATTAGCCTGTCTATCATTATATTCATAGTCTCCATGTCCCTCCTAAAGGATCTGAAATCTTCCTTCAATGATCTCATGTCCTTATCGATGAAACCTCTGCTGCCCTCTTATTTGTTTCCATGTGAAACAACAGTTTTCTTCATCTCCAAATTAGAACCTGCTTTGATACCAATTTTTTGATGTGCCCGGTCGATAATAACATAATTAGGTATCAGATAAAAGTTTACTCACAACCACATTATTACAGAAGGTGATTTAGGTTTCCTGGCCTTCGAGAGGCCAGAAGCTCTCCTAAGGACTCAGGTCCAAGTTGACACAAAGCAAAATACCCCCTTACGTTCCTCACCCCACTTCTTTATGTTAAACCCAAAGCTTATCTACTTGTACCATATACGCATCAACCACTTGTATTCACAATAACCTAGGGTATAACAATATGTGATGTCGATGGGAGGAGCACTAGGTGCCTTGCCTGGATTGTCGTATGTCGATGAGAAGGAGCCGCAGGATATGACTAAAGGGGTAATGGACTAATGAGCCTATATTAACAAAACAAAATTAAGATGCTAGGGGGAACCTAGGCCCACCTGGCCTCTACGAGGATCCACCGGCCATGCAGACCCAACATTTTGGCTATTGGCCTACCCCTATGAAATAACAGGTTTTGATATCGTATTAAAGTATGGAGTTCAAATATCTAACCAAATGGCTATCAATAGAATTTGACCAGGGTCATATATATTGACCACAAAAGTCAAACTTTCTTGATGTGCACTAATTAAAAAGATCACCCCACATAATCATCAGAGAGTTCCATACATATAGATGCATATTTTTTAAGTCATATATTTGAAGTGTGTTGCATAAAAAGGGTATCATTACAAATTTATGTACATCCTAAGATACACCATATATGAATAAACATTACAGACTATTTCATAAAATTCTCGATTTCTTATATTCTAGGGTATGTCCCTATTTACGGGAACAAGAAATTTCAACTTAGACATGAAAAACAAAGAATCTATGAGAACACCATAAAACCGAAGTTATGTTTGTCAGTAATTACCCACAAACTTGAGGATCTTAACAGAGAAATACCTTCTGGAAAGAGATAGTAATTGTTGAGCTCCATCTTGATCATTTACTTCACAGTTCAATACTTTTTGAACAAGGCGCTTATATTCATTTACATTAGGAGTCAGAACAGCTAAAGGATAGCCGCTGATCAGATCAAGACAGTTTGTGACGAGAAATAGTCCATCCTATACAAGAACTCAGAATAGCATCCAAAAGAATCATATGAAAAACAGATGTATATAGCTAGAATCAAGACAATAAAATCTGATAAAAGCATGGCTCCTTAGAACTCATACCCCATCAATGACCATCGGAATGTTGTTTTGCCGTGCATTCTTCATAATATCAGTTACACAATCCTTCAAGTATAAGAAACATTATAAAAGGAATTTGACAAGAAGAACGCCATTTTGTACAAAAACACTAAAAGATAATGGATGGAAACAATTTACTACCAAGAATTAACACAAACACATCATAATCCTCAAAGAGGAGAACCTGGATTAGCATTGGTAGCTGATAAATAAGACATACACATGAATGCTTAATGTCAAGGGTAAACCTAAGAGAGCTCAACAGATGCATGCATGGACCAACATTTTCATTGGATTAAAAAGACTAGCTAGCAATTCAATTTGTTAGATGTCAAAGTTCCTTAGCTTGGCTTTGTTACAGAACATTGTTAGTTGTCATATTGTCATATGGGGACTAAAAAATAGTCATCTATCTGATTTTCTAGTAATGAGTTTGAAAAATGCATAAGCATCAATTATTCCGTTTTGCTGGTTCAGTTATTGTAACCTTGTTTAAGTGAAGAACACAGACATAACGATACTTTCACATCTAAACTTTATATATAGCCCACAAAGAAGCTGAATGTGGAAAAATCAAAGGCTATTAACTATCTTAACTTTTTTTCCTGTAGAGGTTGTATTACAGGTGTCTAAATCGTCTAGTCAAGTCACTATACTTTAAAAGGATTCATTTAATGTGCATATACAAATGATACATGATCAAGCCTAAAAACACCGTCCAAATATGTGATTCATTTACCCGGAATGTCACTGTCCAATTGATTTTCTTATACTTGAACACTTCGTTTCAAGGAACACTACTAGAAAAACTTTATTGTTGATACTTTCGGTTTCAAAGCGCATAGCATAATATCCATGCTTCCAACAATATATGCAAAATGAACTATGTGAATCAAGGATCATATGCAACTCATTCGTACAGCCTCCATAATTAATGGGAAAAAGATTATGTCAAGACAAACAAAGCTACACACCAGAAGGAAGGGATCTCTTCCAAGCCCCGGACCAATGACAAGACAATCAAATCTTTCCATCCACTTGTCAACTTCAGTAAGAACCTTGTTTAAACTTGATGTTATGTCCTCGTCCCTGTGATTTCACAAAAATCAGAACCAACTTCATAGGAAAAGACGGGTAGAAAATATAATGGGGAGGACTAACCTGACACTGTATGATTCTTCAAGCAAAGGATGCACAATCAACTCAGGACTGTAGCTTTTTATAACTGGAGCAGCATCTTTGGTACAGAACACATGTGATAAATCTGCACCCTGAGTAAATATTTCGAAAATGCATTTAAACAAGTTTGAAGGTCATGGACATATCTGGAAGCAATTCCCTTGAATTCGGGAAATGTATGATGCATCAAATGCCAAGGACGAATGTTTTAAGGAAGCACAGTCCAACTAGAAAATGGAATGTAAAGGAACTAACAATTTTGAGGGCCGAAATAGCAGAGAAGTATGGTGCACCAGTATATTCACGGCAACCACCTATAACAGCTATCTTTCCTGATCAAAGAATAGAAGTTGTCAATACTTGAATGAGGGAAAGCAAATCAAGGATTCGCATTTGCATGCAAGAGGTGGAACGATAAGGGAAATGTTACACGTTCAAGTGCCATTAATCTTATGTGAGCACTTCTGTTGTCTGTTCATGAGATATTATACGGGATGCATGCCTCAATTAAGCATCAACTTACATAGATAATGTTATTCTGATGAGTGTTAAGAGTGTACTCTAACAAAGACAATCAATCCTGTACAGGAAATATTGATTTGGGTCATTGGGTGAACCTCGAGGTAACATCAAGCCAACTAGACCTCAGACCGATATATCAACCAGAAAACAATGGCATCATTTTCACAAATAATTCTGAATAAGCTTGAAGAAGTACCTAACAAATAATAAATAATATGCATTCTCTCAATATGATTACCCTTTGTCCAAGTTCAACATGCTGCAAACAACCATGATTCCTAACCTTCTCATATCGTAAATTTTATACATCTACTTATTCTTTTAAAGTTATATTTTTATATTTGCTTAGCTGAAAGAATGGGGCAGCCAAAAGCACATCCTAGATACCTCACAAGTGCATAATGCTTGAAGAAATGTGATAACTGATGCTCTCTCTCATGACAGGAATAAGAAAAAAGAAAGAGAGGTAAACTTTGTTTGAGGTTCAACAGACTGTATTTCAACTCCAAAGTCCAAACTATATATGATGCAGTAAATTTCACATAAAAAATGTTGACATATACATTAAACTTGATGCAAAATACAACAAATATGAAAATTACGGTGTCAATTTCGCAACAATATCCATGTCAATCTGAATTTGAAATATAGTATGATTGACTTTGACCTCTGGGCACTGATCAAATCATCCTTTTTGTTTGTAGTACTATATACTACATCAACCTCTTAACCTTCAAGAAACATCGATAAAATAAACATCTAATAAATTTGCAATGAAAGCTCACCAGCTTGGCCTTTATGCTTATCTGCACCAACGGTAGGACAAATTGACCTCAAAATACTGAGAGCATCAACTTCCGAAGTGGGGCTCCCACCACTCGTCGCAGATTGCATCCTTGTGCACTTACTCACCAAAAGAAAGGGGTCGCTGCTGCCGCGATGGTAATCGCCTACCAAACACCTAATCAAGTGTTGTTGCCTCCTAATTACACCACCATACCACTGATGCATACAAGTATCTATTCCTTCAACTGCACCACAAATCCAAAATAACTGAAAAAGCCCAAAAGAGAAAAAGGAATTTGCTTAAAAGCGTATTTGGTATTGAAATTAGGGCTAGAGAAGGTGGGACTTGCAAGAACATGTAGGAATGAAAAGCAATTTCTTTTACATTCGCGTGATTTCTGGAATACCGGGTGAAGACAAGGAGAAAACCCGCCGAAACCCGAACAAACCGTCACATTGTGGAACTCATCAAACAAATACCCCTATAAACCCGCTAAACCATAAATTAATATGGTTAAAATGTGTTAGGGATTGTTTTTTTAAAACATCTTATATTTTTTTTTTAAATTGCTTATCAAGTTATGTGGGGTAAAGAGGAGTTTTATTAAAAAAAATGTTTGAATTACCTTTATAACGATGCTATTAAGCTGAAAAAATAGATGAGATATTTTTTTTTAAACATTAAAAATTCTTTATTGTCAGTAATAAAATTATAAGTTAGAAGAAGGTAACTTATCAAAAACTTCTTATTACAAGTGTCAAAATAGTATAAGTATTTTCTTTTCTTTTTCCATCCAAACACTAAAAGCTCCTTATTACCGGTACCACTAAGAAATAAGTTAATAGATACTTTAAATAAGCAATCTCAAACATCCCATTAGTCACCGATTTAAGATCAGAGCGCATCTTTAAGAAGAAAAAAAAAAAGAACCACATTGGATTGAGTTGATACTTTATAAAGTTATCTTTATCGACAAACTTATCCAATCCAATATTTATTAAAAAAATATACTTTTTCTTTTCCACTACTCAATCTTTAACTCTAACCTAATCTAACATTTTTATACTTTATTCATGATCCAACCCAATCTCAAAATTTATTTTATAATTATTATATATTTAATATTTTACCATATATATATATAGGACAACGATAGTGTAAGAAGAGAAGTTATGTTGAGGAGTGTATTAAAACCTTTGATCACTTAATCTCATGCACTCCCATTCATTGCGCTTTAGAAGGGAATTGATCTGTTGAATCTCGGTGCACAACTTTAGTGTTGAAATTCAATTAGGAATGATCTCTTTTTATGTTTCTTATCATAACTTCTCTTCTCGCCAGAACCCTATAAAAAAACTTACAATTGGAAATAAATAAAATAAATTACCGAAAGATTACGAAATTACATAGCTAAAAGACATAAATAACATAGGTAATTATTAGAGCGGAACTTTTGCCATATATGCTCAATCAAATCATTTTTTTGGAGCGTTATGAGTTTCCTTATTACGAAGTTGTTCCCTATTAGCCATATAACTTGATAGATTTGCAATCCGTTTAGTGGAGAATCAGGCGGTTGATCATCCTCTTTTGTGGAGTTTCCTTGTTGTCAATTTGTGGGCATGTCGTTAAGAAATTCAGTATGATCATAATAATGGAGGTATGTATCTCGTTCGTCTTCAACTATCATATTGTGCATGATGATACTAGCAATCACAATTTGTCCCATATTATGTTTGTCCCAAACAAGACATGAGTGTCGAAGAAATGCAAAATGAACTTCTAGAACTCCAAATGCTTGCTCAACATCTTTTCTGACAGACTCTTGATGTTCAGCAAATAAATTGTGTTTTTGGATATGAGGAGACATAATTGACTTGACAAATGCATTCCATGTAGGATATACGCCATTAGTGAGATAATTTGTCCTATCATTTTCGCGACCATTCACGACATAAGTAACTTTTGGTGCTCGACCTGTCAATACATCATCAAAAACAGGAGATCGGTGGAGTACATTAATATCCTTTAGCGAACCTGGTGTTCCAAAGAAAGCATGTTGTATCCATAAATCAAATGATGCAACGGCTTCCAAAATGATTGTCGGTTTTCCACTATTTTCGGCATATTGTCCAATTTTCCATTGCTAATGCATGCAATCAATACTACCTATCATACGGGGGAATGCGTGCAGGAACCCAGATCCTCAATTCAAATAATTAAGTGCTAAACAATAATTATAAGCCAAAGGAACAAAGCATTAATTACTGTTCAGACTAAGAGATGAAGAATATGATACAAACAATAGTAAGATCACCATAGTCATCATGTGTATTGATTGGCAAATTGAGATTATAGAATTACACCGAGAACACACAGTAGTGTGCATGAAAAATCACTCAAAATGCACAAATCTCTCTCAAGTACAAAGGAAACATTTATAGAACATCTAGCTAAATATAAAGGATCAATGGTATAGATTTCGTGATATTTCATGATAAGCTCTCTGAAATCTATTGTCTTATGTATGCACCGGATCATTTCAACAGGTTCTCTGGGTACAAACTCTCTTCCAATTCATTTATGAATCTCTTGTTGTAGCCAACTTAGAGTTTTGGAGGAGTATTTGAAGCTCTCTAACACCATAAAGAGCAGCTTGTCTCTATGTTCATTTTTGTAAATGAAGCCAAACTCTGGTTTAATGACTATGGATGCAGAAGGAACTTCATGCAGATTACTAAGAGATTTGTCTGGTGCTGTCACAAAGATTGCTCTATTCCCAGTTCCAAGGCTATCTGGTAGTCCACCATACTCCTGTATCTAACCAGCTCATCCATTTCCTCTTTGATCGAGCTGTTGGCAACTGCAAATTTCATTTCTTTATCTCTTATCTACTTTGTGAACCAAAACAAGGAGTTAAGGTCATAAGGATTCATGTTCAGAAGATCATTGTCGTTGAAAATGCATATTTGGCCATAAGCTCTTTCCACCATATATTTCGAATAGACGATCTGGTTGTATGCAAATGTTTTTCTCTTGATATCCAGAACTGTCTTTATCCCATTATTCAAGTACACCAAGTTCCTTGCTTGTGTGTGTTGGTTGATGAATCTCTGTCTGATATGCTCTCTCACTTGAGGGAGGAGACTTAGCTGCATATAGACTTCTTCATCATAATTGTTGTACAAGTACCTGTGAATATTTTGTTTAGTATAGGTACCTTGTACTTTTCAGGATCTGGTCTTGGTAGGGAGTCCATCTGCTGAATGACTTTTCTCACTCTGTCCTGCGAGACTTGAGGGGGAACAGAAGTGGAAGGAGCCATTTGTGTGGGAGTAGTGAAAGGAATGCATTTCTCTTTTGGAGCAGTGCTTGATGGATGGGGAGGAGCGGTTGATACATGGACCAACCTTGACTTCCTTTGGATGAGAGGAACATCGTCTTCTTCTTCTTCTTCAGATTCTGAAAAAATCACGTGAATATTAATAACTTGTGAAAAACGAACTGAGCCAACAGAACCTTTCCTTTTTGGTCTTCTGGTGGTGGAGGCATGTCATAATTATTAGCTGAGCTATATGATGAATAACCTTCAGTAGAGGACATAATCCTCTCTAGCTCATTCCTTTGATGTTTGTGAAGGCCAAACACAGAGACAGAAGTATCGTCTGGTTGTCCTTGTGACTGATGTTGATAGGGCACGGACTTGACTGGCATGCCATGGGGAGACATGACACTTATCAGTTCAATGGTTGCATCTTTTTTAGAGGATGTTCCCAGATGTGTGGCTTCCTTTTGGCTATGCATACTAGAGGCAGATTGTCTTGTATCTGGATGGTGAGGGTTAGAGGTGTACTCCTCTAGTTCAATAACCTATGTTACTTGACCAACAAGGTTAGAAGATTTGCTTGCACTAGAGGTGGAAGAGGGAATATACGTATGTGTGCCTCTTGGGGCATCTTTTCTCAACCTCTCAAGATTTTCCCTCTCAGGCTCTAACGAGGTTTGCTCTCCTTCACCCGCTGCCTTACCTAACCCAACTCCTTTTGGTTCTATTTTTCTGTCTTTCTCTTTCTTTTCTTATTTTCTTTTTCCCTTTCTGTCTTCTTCTGTCTGCTTTTTTTTCTCTCTCTTCTCTCTTTCTTGTTCCTATATCTTATCTACCTTTCTTCTCTAGTTTTATCCTCACCCTCTTCTCCCTCTTTTGATCTCTCCTCCTGCTCTCTTATGCGTGTGGGGGTTCGAATCCTTGGTGGAAAGGTTTCAACTACACGTCTGTATACTCTACGGATTTGTTTGTTCTTAATGTAGGTATGTATCTGGTATGAGAGAATTCGTTTGTTTGGGTAGCTCTCCTTGCACTGTGTGGGCTTGTAGGAACTCATCACGAACACAGGAGTCATTGGGCTTTGAGTGCATGGGATCTCTTCATTTGTAAGGCCTGGTCGCAGTAGAAGGCTTAGAAGACATGGAAAAATAATGTTGGAAGGTCCTTTCCCTTGGCCTTCTCTTGCTCCTTTTTGTTTACAGCTACGAGGAACTCATTGTAGATGAGCTGGGAGTAGTCAATGGTCAGATCAAAATAAATACCATACATGATGGTAAGTATTGAAGCTGGTCATATCCATGCTCCCATGGTTACAGGTGAGGGTCCTGTTGATAATGGTGAAGTGTATGTTCCAGGTTGGGGGAAGGAACTGTCTCCTGAATCGAGATGGGTAAGTTATGGTTTTGTGTATCTAATAAATATTAAAAATTCCACTATTGTTGGTCCCGTTAGAGTCTACAGATGTGATAACTGTTAGACCCTATCTTGTGAAAGTGTAAGTAAGAAGTCTCTTACTCTAGTCATTAGGACTTATTCTAGTGAAGCAGTCTGGACTAAGAGCTCTCATGCAGAAGAGGTCAAGAACCAGAGCTCTTACTCAAAGAGTGAAGGTTCCTTACATACAGAGCTCGCGCTCAATCTTCGTGGATGATCAAGCCTTATGCGCCAAAAAGCATAAGCGTTTGATGCAAACCTACAACTCCAGACACAGAGCCTCTGCATAGTACATGCAGAGCCTCTGCATATACAAAACCTCTACATAGTACATGCAGAGCCTCTTGTCTCCTTCTCCATGGAACGCGCGTGTAAGTCCAGACATTCTCGCAAGCGTCAAACAGAATCAAGGCAGCTTGACTTAATCCGCTCCACTTTTCAAGGGAAGTCAAAGATAAGGACGCAGACTCGTCAACTCAGATATTTAAGCTATAATTATAGCATAGTTGTTTGACTTAGGCGTATATAAGGAGGCTTCCTTTTCAGGTTCAAATTACCTGAGAGTGCCGACTTATACTATAGCTTATTTTCTATGAGATTACGTT